AGCACACAGAGGCGGAATCCACCGCCTCCACAGCTGCTGCTGCTGCTGCTGCTGCTGCTGCTGCTGCTGCGGCTGCTGCTGCTGCTGCTGCTGCCGCGGGTAGCGCCATGTGTGCCTGCGGGGAGTAACCAAACTTGAGGAGCGCTGCCGGTGGTGATCGTCAGCAGCAGCAGCAGCAGCAGCAGCAGCAGCAGCAGCAGCAGCAGCGTCAGGAGCTTGGGTCCAAAAAAGGCTGCGCTGCTTCTGCCGCTGCTGCTGCTGCCTTTGCTGCTGCTGCTGCTGCTGCTGCTGCAGCGGGGGCAGGGTGTCACTGTGGGGAAATGCGAAGGATAAAGACACAGAGTCGGGACTGGGCTTGGCGACGGCCCCGCTGCTGCTGCTGCTGCTGCTGCTGCTGCTGCTGCTGCCGCAACTGCTGCTGCTGCTGTTACTGCTGCTGCCGCTACTACTACTGCTGCTGCTTCTGCTGCTGTTGCTGCTGCTACTGCTACGACTGCTGCTACTGTTGCTCGGTGCTGTTGACCGCGGGAAATGCTGCTGCTGCTGCTGCTGCTGCTGCAGCAGCTGCTGCTGTTCCCTCAAGGATGCCGGGCTCCCCTGCACACAGCACAGTCTTGCAGCAACGTTGTTGCTGCTGCTGCTGCTTCCCTGTTGCTACCGCTGCTGCTGTTGCTGCTGCTGCTGCTGCTCTTGCTGTTGCTGCTGCTGCTAGGGGAAACAGATCAACTTGAAACGAGGAAGCAAATTCTTACCGAAGAGACGGGAGGCTCGTCATTTGCCTGCTGCTGCTGCTGCTGCTGCTGCTGCTGCTGCGCTCGCTCCAAATAAGCCAGTTCTCCCTGCTGCTGCAGCAGCAGCTGCTGCTGCTGCTGCTGCTGCTGCTCCTCATCCCACTGTTCGTCAAAAGAGGGAGACCGCCTGGGCGGCGGCAGAGGGACACTGCCCCAAGAGGGCAGCCGCGGCTGCTGCTGCTGCTGCTCATCGTCCTGCTGCTGCTGCTGCTGGTCTTGCTGCTGCTGCTGCTGCTGGTCTTGCTGCTGCTGCTGCTGGTCTTGCTGCTGCTCCAAGGCAGCAGACATCTGCTCCCGCGGCGAAGACGGGAACGAAGGGATGCGGGGAACCCTCGGCTGTTTTGCTGCAGACTCCGCGTGCTCTGCAGCAGCAGCTGCTGCTGCTGTTTGCTGCTGCTCTGGACTCCGCTGCTGCTGCTGCTGCTGCTGCTGCTGCTGCTTCTGCTGCTGCTGCTGCAGCAGCAGCTCCCAAACCGTTTGTGCTTCCCGGGAGCCCCGCGGAGTGGCAGCGATAGAGCTCTGGTCTGAAGGAAAGCGGATGGGGTACTCATTGCTGCTGCTGCTGCGGGTCATGCCCTGCTGCTGCTGCTGCTGCTGCTGCTGCTGCCGCTGCTGCGCTGGCTGCTGCTGTTCTTGACGCAGCAGCCGCCCCCAGTTGCCGCCGCCGCTGTCTTCGGCATCCTCAGCCCCAGCTAGCATTGGCAGGGGGCAGTTGGGGGCTGCTGTTGCTGCTGCTGCTGTTGCTGCTGCTGCTGCTGCTGCTGCTGCTGCTGCTGGCGACGCTGCTGCTGCCGCTGCTGCTGCTGCTGCCGATCCGCAGCAGCAGACAAGGAGTTATGAGAGCCTGTAGAGGCTGTAGTCAGACCAAGTGAGCTGCTTCAACTGCAGCAGGAAGGGTATAGTGCTGCGCGTGGGGGCCCCCAGCAGCAGCAGGGGGCCCCCCTGTCTGCTGCTGCTGCGATAGGCAGCAAGCAGCAGCAGCAGCCCGTATACCGGAAAAGAAGTCCTAGCTAGCCTAATAAAAACAGTTTTATAGTTTTCAAACAAAAAAGAATTCTAAAAGAAACAACTCTGCGTCGGGAGCTCGCGCGGATCAAGGGTTTAGGGTTTAGGGTTTAGGGTTTAGGGTTTGCGAGATGGCAGAGCCGGTCAAGTTCTTGCTGCGATCTCTGGGGCTCTTTCACTTTCATTATGGCAACTCTACAGCTTTAACATTAAGGGTTTAGGGTCTCCAACCCACTTAGGGTTTAGGGTTTAGGGTTTAGGGTTTAAGAGACCTAGGGTTTCGCTGGTTTAGGGTTTAGGCGCATGCGCCGCGCCGCTGCAGAGCTTGTCTACGGGGTTTAGGGTTTAGGGTTTAGGGTTTAGAATTTAAGGTTTAGAATCCACAACGCCCAAACCCTGACCCGCAGCAAAACTGAGCAAGCCCTGCCCGTTGCTGCAGATTTAGGGTTTAGGGTTTAGGGTTTAGGGTTTAGAAGTTTAGACAGGCAAACTTGGCAAAATTGCCTTCCTTCGCTACAAGTCGCCGCTAGCTAGCTACTAGCTAGCTAGCTAGCTAGCTGGGCATATGGCTGTAGCGGCGAAGCTGGCCAGCTAGCTAGCTAGCTAGCTAGATGTAGATGCGTCGCTGGCTAGCTAGGTAGCAAGCTGTAGATGCGGTACTAGCTAGCTGGCTAGCTAGCTAGCTAGCTGTAGCTGCCAGCTAGCTGCAGCTGCCAGCTAGCTGGAGCTGCTAGCTAGCTAGCCACCAAGCTAGCTGTAGCTGCGCTAGCTATCTACCTGTAGCATGCAACGAATGCAGCGCTGGCTGACTGCCAGCTAGCTAGCTAGCTAGCTAGCTAGCTGGCAGCTAGCAGCGGCAGCTAGCTAGCGAAAGAAGGAGACGGAGCGGCGTGGCCGAGCCGCCCGCAGCAGCTAGCTAGCTAGCTAGCTAGCTAGCTGTTTGCTGCCGCCTTTCTTCCTTTTGTCTCTTTTGTTGCTTTTGTTCATTTTATTTCTTTTATTTATTTTATTTCTTTTTTCTTTTTTTCTTTTTTCTTTTGAAGACACTTCAGACTAAAAATTAAACATCAAAAAGTCAAATCCTTTTTCTAGGATGTATGTACACCCCATTGCTTCGGGGTTTCTTTAACCCTTCGTAGCTAGCTGCAGCTAGCTAGCTAGCTAGCTGGCTGCAGCTAGCTAGCTGCTTCTAGCTAGCTAGCTAGCTAGCTAGCTAGCTAGCTAGCTAGCTAGCTGCAGGCATCTAGCTGCAGCTGACTAGCTGCACGCTTCCTGCTAGCTGCCGCTAGCTAGTTGCAGCTAGCTGTCTGTACAGGCACCGATAGCTAGCTGCAGCTAGCTAGATGCAGCTAGCTATCTGTACAGGCAGCTGCTCATAGCTTCCGGGAGCAGCTAGCTGTTTCCCGCCATCCCTAGCTGCTGTTTGTGGCTAGCTGTGCTTGGCCACAGCTAGCTAGCCACAGGCAGCCGCAGCTAGCTCCGGCTAGCCACAGGCAGCCACAGCTAGCTACAACTAGCCACAGCGAGCCGAAGCACCTACAGCAAGCTGCAGCTATCCACAGCTAGCAACTGCTAGCCACAGCTATCTGCGACTGGCTACAGCTAGCTACAGCTAGCTACAGCTAGCTGCATATTGCTACAGCTAGCTACAGCTAGCTACAGCTAGCTACAGCTAGCTACAGCTAGCTACAGCTAGCTACGGCTACCTACAGCTAGCTGCTAGCTGCAGCTAGCTGCAGCTAGCTGCAGCTAGCTACGGCTGAATGTGTGGCTTCAAGAGGAAGAATTAGTTGAGACCGCGTCTTTGTCTGTGTCTGAATGTGAGTCCGTGTCTGCTGCTGCTGCTGCTGCTGCTGCTGCTGCTGCTGCTGCTGTTCCAGGTTCTGTTGTGTACATCAAGTCCGTCAGCATCAAAGCAGCGCTGCTGGGGCGGCGCGGCGAGGGGACTACGTTGGACCGGGGGCTGGGCAAACACCTCACTGCAGCAGCAGCAGCAGCAGCAGCAGCAGCAGCAGCAGCAGCAGAAGCAGCAGCAGCAGCAGAAGCAAAAGACGCAGGAATTAAAGGTGGCCCTCCAGAAATATCGAATGGCGAAGCAGACCGACAAAATAAGAGAATGGCAGAAACAAAAAATTAAAGCACAGCGGCAGCAGCAGCAGCAGCAGCAGCAGCAGAAACACCAGCAGCACAAGAAGCAACAGGCAGAACAGCAGCAGCAGCAGCAGCAGCGGGTGCAACAGTAGCAGCAACAGCACTACAGCAGCAGCAACAGCACCCGCAGCAGGAGCAACAAGAACAGCAACAGTAGCAGCAGCAGCAACAGCAACAGCAGCAAAAGAACAGCTGCAGAGAACAATACCTGAGTGTCTTGCTTTTTCAGCACCTTCGCCTGCTGCATCTTTGCCTGCTGCTGCTGCTGCTGCTGCTGCTGCTGTGTGTCTCCTTCTGGGCTTTTGCTTCTCATTGACGCGGTGCCGCGGGGCCTCTTCAGGGGTAGCCGCGCACAAGTCTAAATACGCCCTGAGCTGCAGCAGCAACAGCAGCAACAGCAGCTCAGGATCTGCTGCTGCTGTTGCTGCTGCTGCAGCAGCAGCAGCAAGAAGTTTACAGTCATTTGTTTATTAATTGGAAACAAAAGAAGACAAAAGAAAATGAAATGAAACATAAGGAGACAAAATAAGAAAGACAAGAATCACAAAAGCGAACAAAAAAAGACAAAAGATATTTTAAAATAAAGAAAATTTTAAATTAAACGAAAAAGAAATAAAAAAGAAGAAACAAAAAGCGGATAAGCAGACAAAAAGATGAGAAAGAAAAAAAAGAAAATAATAAAACAAAAAAAGATGAAGAAAGAAGGTAAAAGGAAATGGAATAATTGAAAAAGAAATAAAAATTAAAAAGAAATTCAAAAAAAGAAAATTGAAAAAGAGAAAAGCAAAAAGAATTTGGAAGAAGAAAAAGAAGAGCTTGAAAAGAATCAAGAAGAATTATGAAAGAACAAAGAGATTTAAAATAGAATAAAAACAATTAGAAATAATTGAAAGAACCAAAAGGATTTAAAAAAAAAATTAAAGGAGTTAAGAGGAATTAAAAGAAATTAAAAAGGATTAAAAGGAAAAAGAAGAATAAAAAAGAATTAAAGAGAATAAAAAAGAAAAGGAAAAAGAATTAAAAAGAATAAAAGAACAAATAAACAAAATTATAAAACAAATTAATAATTAAAAATCAAAACATCGAATTACAAAACCAAAAAAACAAAGCAGAATAAAACAAAAAAGACTAAAACAAAACAAAATCAAAAAAACAAAAACAATTAAACAATTAAACAATTAAAAGAATTAAAAATTTAAAAGAATTAAAGAATTAAAAAAACAAAAGAATTAAAATTAAAATTAAAAACAAAATTAAAACAAAATAAAAAATAAAATTGCCTTGTCAATGAATTCGAAAAGTCCATCCGCCCAAAGATCTCTGCTGCGGTCGACGCGGCGAAAGAAGAGGTCGACTTGCTGCTGCTGCTGCTGCCACGGCCACTGCTGCTGCTGCTGCTGCTGCTGCTGCTGCTGCTGCTGCTGCTGCTTCTGGTGGTAACGCACGTAAAAGACATTCGGGTCGGTCTTGTCCGGCAGCACTAAACTGATGGCCAAAAGAGAATATTTATTTAAAGGACTTGCGTCGCTGTAGCAGGCCTGTTTGCTGCTCCAACACACCCACTCCCACCGGTCTGCACGCAAACCCTAAA